CAAGTTAAATCTTGGGAAGAACAGTTTCATGATGCAATTTTGCGCAATACCCGTTTATTCATTCTTCCACAGATTCATTAAATAGGGATTTTGCTGTATTGGAAAAGTGGCCTTTTATCAAATTTGAAACTTTAGTTATTTTGAGTATATGTTAACAGCAGTGAAGTTAATGTGCAGTTATGAAAGTAGGGCAACACAGTTGCCATCTCTGTTTCTTTTTCATATAATTTTAATTGGTTGAGTGTTAATGTTCTTTATTTTTTTTTTTGTTGAAAAATTGTTACACACTCTGTGAATTGATTGAAACAGTTTCATACACGTGCATTTTTACAGATGTTAAAAAAAAAATTTTAATATACACCTACTTTTTAACATCTGTAAAAATGCAGGTATATACTCAAATTTGTAAACATATAATGTACGCATTTTTAAATATATTATTGATTTCTACAAATGTGTCAGTAATGAGTGAAATTACAATAAGTTTGTAGCACGTTATGACTACAGTATACTGTTTACTTTTAAAGAAATTTAAATTAAAACATAATTTAATATCATTATGATATTTATTCACATAACACATTTACCATGTAACTTAAAATATATAATAATAAAAGTAACAGAATACTTGACTACATACACGTTGAAGTTCTTTTCTGCTTTCCCCAATGTGACTACCATGTTTGCTCATTTAATTTGGAAGGTTCATTGGTCAGCTGTCACAACTCTTGCCATTTCTTTATGGGTTTTTTTCTGTTCTTCAAGCAGGTGTCAAAATCTACAGTTAATGCGGGGATAACCAAGACAATTTGAGGAGTATGAACATTCACTTTTAATGTGTAAATTTTTGTACTATGTAAATATTAGGAATACGGGCATTTTATTGATTTGAACGGTCATAGTATTAAAATGCATTTTTAGTGAACATCATATTCCTAATGTATTTTTAAAGTTGTATTATTGGTGGATATGTTAGTAAAAGATAGAATGGGAACCAGTTAGTTGAGCTGTCAGTTGACAAAATTTTTGCAAGAGTGCAGCTGTGAAAAGAAGACTTGATGTGTGATGTTGGGAATATGTAATTCAGTAAGACTGATAGACTGCAGACACTAGTCTGTGTGTGTGTGTGTCAGTGATCTGTAAAGTGTAGTTCTGAGTGGTGTATTCAAGTGGTCCGTATTGGAGAGGGTGGGTTTCCCCATGCACTTAGACCAACTGTTGGTCCATTGTGAGTCCCCCTATGATATTCTACCAGTCTCTATTCCCTACCGGTACTGGTGCGTGCCATCAGTCCCGACTCAGCCAGCGAGTTCGGCCTCTACTGGCTCAGTGGTATCTCGATGCTTCCCCCATCTACCAGAGGCGTTAGAGACTACTGTTGGGCGGGAAGTGTCCTGAATTTAGCTCAGTGGCCCCCTTGGGACATGAGGTTCTTTTACGTGCCGTAAAGCTACGACATGGGACCCACAGCTTAAAAGTCCATCCCGGAGGACTTGTTCCCTGAATTTTTCCGCCCTTAAAAATTCCACGACCTCCGCCGGGTTTGAACCCGCGTACCTTGAGTCATGAGGTGGGAACGTTACCCCTAGACTACAGAGGCCAATATCTAATCCATACCCCATCTATAGTCAAACCCCTATATACGTGACAGTACTGTGCAGGGGATGTTGCAGTGTGCTGCATCAAGGAACTGAGCCAATGTGAAGGTGAAGAGCAGCAAGCCCATGCTAATAGCTACACTAAAAATGCAGCTATACCTATTCACCAACCACTGTCCAGTAAGTAATGAAAGGCATAATTCTCAACAGAAAAAATTGCTAACAGTGTATTTCTGTCATCCTGAGATTACAGTGTTTACAATTAAAACATATACATATGTAGATTTATATGTAACAATACTTAAACTTTTTTTTTCACATTATTCCAATGTTTTAACAACAGAACAAAATCATGGAGCTGAAGAGACGCAGAATGATATCCTACTACAAATCAGTTTATCTTGTTAAATAACATCTACAACCACAGTAACATTCTACTTTATTCTATATCATGATACTGAAAGAAATGATTGTCTAAGTTGGAGGATTTGAGGTTCTCACAGAAATGGTTATAACGAGTTCTGCTTTCTGGGGTGTGACACTGTGTAGTATGTTGAAAGTCAACCAGTGGTTTGGAAGAACATGTCGCCTCCACCTTCACTGTTGAAGAATAAGCCAAGCAGGAAACCAGCATGAAGCGGACTGCATGCAGGTACGTGCTTCATGCTGGTTTCTTGCTTGGCTTATCCTCTGACCCTGAAGATGGAGGTGACGTTCCTCCGAACTGTTGATTGACATTCAGTTGTAACCGTACATCCCTCATCAAAATTATATAATTAAGGGTACGAACAACTAATGCATTGTTTCTCACCATGAAAGACGCTCCATCGGCGAGATACCATCCCGGGACCGTCTCGTAATTCAGCTATTGTCCTCCTTAGGCTAAGGGTGCCCCTATTGTCCCTAACGCCGCCTGTTTACTCCCAATACCATAAACCCATGAACTGACCGTATGTGAGGCCGACCAGGAGGGGTCTTGCGTGCCTTGAAGACCTAAAAAAGTTTACGGGCTTCTCCAAAATACGAATATAGGTCAGATGCCGGGCTCAACCCGTGGCTTTCTCTTTTTATGTTTCTATTTTTCGTTTTTTTAGGCCAACTGGGGGACTGGTAAAGAGAGGGCAGTCAGTTATAGGGAGCGGAGGAGGACAGTAGTTGAAAGGTAGATACAGAAGAAAGACGTGTTTAATAGTAGGGTAGTGAGTAGGATGGACGGAGCAGCTAGCCAGTAGAATTGGCACTCCCATATCCGAAGCACCCGTATCCTGTGATTAAGAACTCAAGAGCTCGAGTGACAGTCGTGGCAGCTGTACGTCGGCGGACGCCTACACAGTTGACTACATGGCATTATATCTCAGAAGGTTAATTCCAAAATACTAAGTGTTCACTTATAATTGTGTTCATTACAAGGAAGCGCTGTTCCTCTAAAGTTATCATTTGGGTGCTGAAACTTTGTATTAGTAAATTCCTCACGCCAGTAAGGATATGTATTGGTGTGATAAAAATTAAATAAGTTATACAAAAGAAAGCATACATTCGAAATCTCTTCAGATAATATCTGAAACAAATGCTACTATTCCAAAGCCAAACAAACACAAATACATCTACAATATATATAACTGAATAACATACTGCAGTGTGAAGAGGAGGGGTCCCCATTGTTTGGTGTGTGTGCCTTCTCTTGTCTGACTGAAATATCAAGACCCCCATCTTCGTGCCTTCTTTTATGTTCTGGAAAGCCAATCAGCTAAAGCCAATGGCCAGTGTCACAGATGTGACTAGAAATTTGCAGAAAGGTGACTATGCCCATATTCTAGCTGTGAAATTCTCAAGAAAGCAGAGTTCAGTTCAGTTGCAGTGAAGCACAAGTGTGTGAGACAGTGCAGTGTGATGGATGAGGCAGTTAGCAAGTCAGCTATTGGGTCTAGCAGTTTTCAGTTAGTGAGTGATCAAATAGTTAACTCTTGGTTTCAGTGACAAGAAGGAAGTCAAAACAAGGGGCAAGTACTGCGACAGCAGTAACACTGGTGAAGTAATGAGCAAACAAGAAGTGACCTCAAGAGTGGAAGTGCTACAGATGATGGGACATTAACTGCTCCAAATATCAATACAGAACCTTTCAATTCATAAATTAATTAAACTTGAAGAAGTTCTGGAGTGAATCTGTATACACATTTTACTTGTTCCATTTATCGTCCGTGATATGTACATACTGGTNAACTTGCAAAGATTTATCATCTTATATGTCTTAATTCAAACTCATACAATACACGAGTTTGAATTAAGACATATAAGATGATAAATCTTAGCAAGTTTTAGTGTATACAAATTTTATTAAAGTTAATGAAGAATTTATATTTTAAATAATTTTATGAACGACACATGATGGGAAGCAATGCAATAGCTTAGCGTAAACAACGCACCTGAGGATGACACTGTGATGCTGAAACATGTAGTGAAGTGACATGTGAGACTGAGTGCACTACAAGACGGCCAATACATACATATCATGGACGAGAATCAGTGCAACAGGACGCTAAAATACAACACTGTTCCATTTATATAACATCCATATGCTGTCACACATTTCTGCTGTTATTAACCACTGAAGCATCCAAGCTGCATAAGAGAATTAGTAATTTTCTCGCACACATTTGAAGTTCTTAGGGAGCTTAATATTATTTACTCATGAAAGAAGAGAAACTCTAATAACTTAAAATTTGTCACTAAAAAAATACACATACACAATGAAACATCCCAGAAACACTTTCACCATTGTAAATACTGTTAATGGTCGAATATAACATTAACAATGACCAATTCTAAAGACAGCAATAGCATTGAGCCACAGAAAGTATCTGCCTAACCCCTCCTTTAAGTCATGTACTGCAGTTGGAATTATGAAAGACTGGCAGAAAATGTGTTAGTTCCAAGGTATACCAATTACACATTTCACCCTTTGACAAATCAATTGTAAATACTTCCAAAAATAATGGTTCTCTATCTATAAATATTATCTAATACTAACAGCCAATAAGCCTTTCACTGTAAATGATTCAGATTCAAATACTGTACTTAATCAATGCCCAATAAGACATTCAATGTAATTAAAGCTCCATTGTCATGGTTAATCTTTGTAAACAAACTGCACAGTGGAAAATCTGTGCACATAACGGTGAAAGGCATATAAAGATTTTATATTGTAGAGTGTAAACCATTACTATGCAACAACCACAGGATAAACAAATATACCAGAGACGTTTCAAGGCAACAGTTCTGCAAATGCATCCCCGTGCAACGGACACGAACGCAACAATGGTACAGCAATAGAGGCTGTGTTTTCTAAATTGTCCGTGCTGGAAGGTTATAAGCAAGATGAGGTTTAGAGCTTAGTCAGTTGATAGTCAGGCAGTGAAGAGAAGACTAGGAGGTTGGCATGAAATGGCCACAAGTTAGTTGCAAGAACGCTCAGTTGAAAGTCCAGCTGTGAGAAGACTTCATGGGATATTTGGAGTGTGTAATTCAGTAAGTCTGTTATAGTTCCTGTGTTAAAATCTGTTGCCAGGAACAGGCTAATGGAGACTAATAGATTGAGGACCCTGGTCTTTATCAGTGATCTGTAAAGTGTAGTCACGAGTCGCAAGTGTATACATGGTCAATAAAGTCACCAATCCAAACCCCATCTACAGTCACACACATACTACATGACAATATCATACTACATATATCTTGTAATAAGGTAAACTACAAAAATTGAAGGCCTAACATTTTGATATTATACGCCAAAGGACCAGCTCTTTGACACGTTCATAGTTGAAATATTGAGGAAAATCAATTGGCACTTGCTCCACTTCCCACTGCGAATCCAGAGGTTTTGCCTGAGCTTTCTGCAGACACTGCAGGAAATACTCATAGCATGGTGCTACGGAATCAAAGTCAGCAACTGTGAATACATACCTGGAAAGAGACACAGAGAGGAAAGATTAACGATAACGATAACTTCTAAATCCTTGTTAACCAGAAAAGTGGTTATGACGTCTGGTACTGTATATCATGGTGGCCATGATGTCTGGATATAATGCCGATCGGCAATGCAAACTTGTACATTGTGCTTGCAAGATGTTCTGGCTGCTTCAGAGTGTGACAGGAAGTTGCTGATTGCTTGATAGCTGTCCTAGATTCGAGTTTTTTTGACTGAACATTATGGCAAGTCAAGTCATAGCAAGAAGATGTAAGTGATGAGGAGGTGTTTTATGAACTGTTACAAGAAAATGAATAAAGCAATACTTCAGAGAGTGAATATAGTAGTGACAGTGAAGTAAATGTGAAAATTCTGTCAGGTGAACAAAGTGTCAGCTCTGATGAAGCAGAAAATATCAGCGACAACAGTAGCATGCAACCAGATGTATGGGCAAATTTAGGTGCTGAGTGACCAAGTTTTCCATTTACGATGGGGTACCCAAAAGAAACCGAACTAATTTTTTGTGGGCAGAGCTTTTGTAGTACCGCATTTTGCCGCTATGAGCGCATAGAGCTAACATGCCTGAGTCGATAAGCCGACTACCGTTGCTTCAGAAGGTAAGGACTAGTTTCGGCAGAGTTTATAGTAACAACTGTTTTGTGTGATCGTCGTTTTTGCAATGGCTGATTTTCGTGAACAGCATGTGGCGGTGAAATTCTGCTTTTTGCTCGGGAAAAGTGGAACAGAAACTCTTGAAATGTTAAAAACAGCGTACAAGGACGATGCTATGGGGAAAACTCAAGTGTTTAAGTGGTTTTCCCATTTCAAAAATGGTGAAATGTCAATTGATGACAAACCTCGTTCTGGTCGTCCTTGCACAGCCCGAACACATGAAAATGTTAAAAAAGTTCGTGAAATCATCAAGGAAGATCGACGACGGACCATTGAAGAAATTGTGGAGCTGTCGGGAGTGACTTGGAGCTCAGCGGCCAGATTTGTGACAGTCGGGTGACTGGTTTTTCAATTATTACAATGCCCCTGCTCACACAGCCCTGTCTGTACGACAATTCTTGACCAAAAATGGTATGACCCCTGTTCCTCACCCTCCATACTCACCCGACCTTGCCCCGTGCGACTTTTTTTTTGTTTCCTTGAATGAAAAGAGACATGAAAGGAAAAAACGATGGAGGCACTGTCAAGCATCTCAAAAGATGAATTTAGACAATGTTTTGAAAAATGGAATAAAAGACTAGACAAGTGTATTAGTATAAGTGAAGAGTACTTTGAAGGGGATTGAAGGTTTGTGCTTAAAATTTGAATAAACAAGTTAAAAAAAATTAGTTCGGTTTCTTTTGGGTACCCCCTCGTACTGGCAAGCCTGGCATAAATGTTGATTTAGAAGACCCCAGTAATACCCTGGAATATTTTGAGTTGTTTTGTACACCAGACATTGCAGAAGTAATAGCCAAAGAAACAAATCGGTATGCCCAAAAATTTTTAGAAAACATGCCAAATCCAAAACTGAAATCTAGGACCCCATCACTGGGCTGGTATTGAACTCTTCACAATTATAAAGTATTTATAGTATCTGCCACCTGAGTTGCAGCAATGTTTCGGGTGGTTAGTGATGATTTCATAATCTGTAAAACAATTATTTTGCAGTGGATGTTTGGAAGAACAGTTCAGATTATTCATCCATACTAGCCTTGAGCTTGCTCACATGGCAATAAGCAACTCTGTTTATCAATGAGGCTTCCACATTGTCACAATAAGCAAAGCTAGGAGTGTATGTTTTTGCTAGAGAGATCTATGATCATGTTTCACTTCTAAACATCAGAAGCCTCTCAAGACAGTGTATATTGAATGTGCATGCCTCAGGCATGTGTATGAGATCATGTAGTCTGAACAGAAATGAAAGTCAGTGGCAACAGTGGTGGACTTTTTGAGAATAAAGCCGAAAGTACAGAATTTTACCAAAAAATATATATATAAACTTTAATATAATGGCTACAGAAATGAAAATATAGGTGTGTGAAGTCTAATAATTGGTCTTTCACGGTCTTTTTGTTCCATAATTTTATAACAACACATGATTGAGATATTTCATTTTAAAAAGGGAATAAAAATTATAAAATTAAATGCCTGGGGGAATGTAACGTGCCACTTTTGGAGAGATAAGAACATGGAAAAGAACCATCTGACTGGTTAAAATCTATCCAAACAACCAAATAAAAACAAACCATTTATTGCTGTGAAGAATCAAGATACAAAATCATATTTTTGGAATATTTTAATATTAACATACCATATTTTGGTTATATTTCAGATACCTGTAAGCCACTATAAAATGTACTTAAATTCGAGGAACCCTAGAAAATAATGTGCCATCCAAGTTTCAAAATTATAACTTGAAAGAATAAATACCAGGTGTGCAAAATTTATTGAATAGTTACTAAATACAGCACATACAATCTTCGATGTATAAAATATTCTTGAATAATTTTATTAATATCTTTTTACATACCACTCTGAATGTGTATGAATATGATGTACAATCAGTTGTTTTGGAGGTATTTGGAAAACTGTGGCAAACTAAGTTTCAGTTTATGACAATTTAACAGACCACTGTTACTGAGAGGTTAATGTAGAATCAGAAAACCTTCAACATAACTAAGCCTGTGGTAACAAAAGCTTGAGCTTCAAAACTCTGAATTCAAGAACCCACCACTGCATGTAATCCTGAGTCAGTTCCACCAACTTCTGATCCTGGAAAACCTATCTCCCTAAGATCCATTTAAAGAGATCATTTTCTAAAAGGTTTCCACACAAAACTTCTGCATGCAGTCCTTATCTTCCCTTCCAGCTTCCTATATTTCATTATCCTAGCAATGTGTAAATGATGAAGTTCCTTCCCTTCCTAAATTGCTCACTCTGCCCTTCTTGGGTCCTGATACTTTCCTGAGCATTTTATTTTTAAACAGCTGCAACTTATGTCTTTCCTTGAAAGTAAGGTGCCAACTTTCATAATCAAAGTAACTAGCAGAACTGTACTATATAATGTGGCAAGTGTTTAGCTGACATGGAATGATAGCAGAAGGATAGGAAGATGAATGGGAAAGGATTTCAAAGGAAGCAGTAGTGGCTCAATTTGAGTTACTAGTCTAGTATTTGTCTCAAACAAGAGAGGATAACCTTGAAAGTTATTAGTAGCGGTAGCTGGTATCCCAGCCAAAATTTAAACAAGGTACCCGCTGAATACAAGGAGCCAGTGTACTGTATTGAAATTGGTTATAAGGATGTGAACTGAATTGAATGTAACTGTAGATGGGTCTAGGGAAGGAATTTTGCAATCACAGTGATATTCGTATTCTGTATGTAGTAGTTTCTTGAACCCCTGAGCAGTTACCAACAACTTGTACGAAAGTGTTGGTTACGGTGACACAATTAAGTTTGAGTGGGCCCAGGCATGAAGAACTGTCCAATATATGGATAGTCACCTTTTCTCCAATGCAATGTATACTGTCTTGTCTGGAGGAGTTCTCAAAATTCTCTGCAAGGTGTTCACAAATGCTTCTGTCACATCGTTGTCATAAATCACTAGAATATTAAAAGTGGTATATATTTTAGTGCAAATGATAAAGTTAATTAAATGCATTAAACTATTTGCAAGACATTAAGTGTTAACAAAACTAATTTCAGATGATTTATTCTCCTCACCATCAGCAACAAGAACCACTGTAACATTTGTTAGTTTTGCTTCAACATTAGGGCACCAGCCATGTGCATAGAAATCAAGGCCAAGAACAGTGAAATTAGCCTTCAGAAGCTTGTAATTTCTGGCTGCATTCGCTCTGATGAGTTCCAGGATTCCTCCCACATCAATGTCTACCAAAAAATAAATAATAATAAAATTATGGAGATGAGAAATAGAGATTACTGGAAGAAGAGTTACTTGTTAGTTAAATGATGTTTAAACTTTAGTACAATGAAATATGGTGAAGGTAAATTAAATCAGAATCATGTTTAACCTTGCAACATGCTGAATACAGCACAATGTAAAAAATTAAATATCCCTGCCGTGTTTAATAACAAAACATGGTGTGTAAAGCAGTGTTTCTCAACCAGTGGTACATAACCAACTGGTGGGATCTGTATGTCACATGGGGAGGACATAAGGTCTCAGAAATAGTACTTAATTTAATAACACAGAATTATCTAATACAAAAACTTGTAACCACTCTAACCACAAGTTTCTCGTTATTGCTGCATTATATTCATATTTCTGCTAGCAGAACTATTTTGTTTTCGTAGAATTCTAATATAAGACATAATAATTCTTACATTCTTTGAATTGTTACAAACTTCCATTAATGTTTATATTAACAAAATGTACATAAATGTAAAAATACACTTCAAGGAAAGAAAGAAACTTTTCACTGTGGTCTGATGATAGTGTTTTGACAAAATGACCACTGGGACACAATACATACAAGGCTGAGAATCACTGATGTAAAAGACATTTATCTCAACTTGTCTGACAGCGTCAATACAGTGAGTTCAAATGGTGCAGTAATTGGTTAAAATGTATAAATATTAAAATACCAGGCAAGCAAATATTATTAACTGGGAAAAAAAAAAAGAACTTTTGTACATGCTTATGATGCCATGATGCTGTATATAAAATTCTTATGTCACCTGTGCATATTACTTCTGATGCAAACATGGCTGCAACAATACTAGTAAACCCAACACCAGATCCCAGCTCTAGGACGGTGTGATCTTGCAGAAGTGAAGACCCATAATGAAGTAGAAAGTCTCCCAAAAGTAATGCACCACGCCAAATCTGACGGCCCACAAGGTCCAGTGTTGTAGAATAACTGTGCTCTGAGCAAATGAAGTTTAGAAAGTTAATTACTATAAATCTTTTATACATTTAACAAAACTCACAAGATGAAGTGCTTCTGTGTGATCTCTCACGGAAAAGATGTGGCACTGATCTCCCATCCCTGTGGGACAGAGGAACTGGGCCCATTAAAGAGCAAGCAATAGTCTGACAGATCTGAGAACTTATGAACAGTTAAAAAATCTGGAGAGGCAGGGACATTTGTCTTTGATACCACACGCAGACCAGTGTGCAGTGTACCCAGCCCCATATCCAACGAGTAGTAGGTGTGTGGTCATACACTTCCATCTAGTGCCAAGGTCAAGAATGTGTCTCTTCATGTGGTACCTTAAGGATATGGAGAACTTTACCTTTATTTACTATACTTAGAACTGCACACAAGTGTGTCTGTCCATATGTGACACTTTACCAATTGCAATAATCCCTTCTTTCTGCATCAAAACAGGTTTCCTGCATACGATTAGATCGCCATCTTCATCCATCATCACCCCACAATTTGTACCACATTCCGAAGACTCAATGTTGAGTGCGTATTTGAATGGAAATCTTGAAACCACATCTGATAAGAGAAATACAGTTCTATGAGATACTGGACTAAGGAAGTACAAGGAAACATCAAAATTGTCAAATTTGAGGTTTTCACAGTGGTGACCATAAAGAGTGCTGTCTTCTGGGATGTGGCGCCATGTAGATCTTGTGTGAACCAACGTTTCAGGGGAACTTATCGACTCCATCTCCAGGGGAGAAAAATCTGTGAGCGAGGAACCAGCGTGTGCAGGTAGCTAGCAGACTGCTAGCGATACATTGCTCTGAAATGTCGGTTCACACAAGATCTACACAGTACCAATCCCAGAAGATGGCATTCTTCATCCAAATTGTCGTTTGTAAATTACACACATCATCTGCAGCTGAATACATTTTCCCAGTATGAATGAATATGAAGAATTGTGTGTGATATGAGATTCTCAAGGCAGTGACTACGTGTAGGATAATTACTGTTTTCTATCTCTCCTACTCCCTGCTACCTCCTGTTGGTTCACTCCGAACCATTATTCTTGCACTGCCTCCATCCTTTAGAAAATGTTTCTTTTAAGGGCCTCATATTCTTTCACCATTCTCCTCATTCCTCTAAACTCACCAAGGTCCTCAATCTCAGCACCTCCTCCCTCTATATGCAGTTCACTTCTGTCCATACTCAGCTTACTCCTCCACCCCAACAATGGAGGCAGCGCATACGTCTGAAATGTCCCTAAATATCTAGAAGATTACAGATTCCAGAAGGCAATACTTTTTGCAAATTATTTGGATAAATTTGGGGGGCAACCAGCCACATCAATTCATGATTGAAGCCTGTTGGAGACCCTTTCTGTCTCCATCAATTAGGGAATTACTCCCTGATGATGGGGATGAAGAAGGTCCCTAAGACACTGGAATAAAACTCCGTGGCCTGTAGTCCGCAAGCAAACTATACCAACCGAGCTGACGAGTGGTGAGAATATTTGAACCCAAGAGGGATGAAATAATAGGAAATTTGAGGAAGCTGCATAATGAGGAGTTTCATAACTTGTACTTTTAGCCAAATATGATTAGAATGATCAAGTCAAGGAGGGTGAGATGGGTATGGCATGCAACATGCATGGAAGAGGAATGCACACAAGGTTCTGGTGGGAAAGCCAGAAACGAAGAAGCCACTCGGAAGACATAGATGTAGGTGTGAGGATAATATTAAAATTAATCTTAGAGAAACAGGATGGAGTGGTATGGACTGGATTCATCTAACTCAGAATAGGGACCAGTGCTGGGACCTTGTGAACACGGTAATGAACCTCTGGATTCCATAGATGTTAGGAAATTCTTGAGCAGCTGAGTGACTGGCAGCTTTTCAAGAATGACTCAGCTCCATGGAGTTAGATATTAACACCAGTTCTGAGTCAGATATGCTATACCCAAATTCAGAAACTGAAATTGTTTGAAATATGGAAAACTTTTTCTTTTGGTCTTTCATGCAATTATTCAGGCAACTAGTTTCTGCTAGCAGGGCCCACAACCCTCAACACTAGTCTAGTTATGTAATAGAATTTCACATACATCTGAAACTCAATCACTGCCACTCTGTGTTGCAATCATTATGTAATGACTGGACTGTATTGTAAGTTTGATACATTTATTTTCTACAGATCACCCTATAAGTGTCAACACCCATTCCCTTCTAACCTTAACACTTTGCGGACCGGTGGCATATTTTTTTGCCCAGCGCTTTTAAATGTGGTGGACCGGTGGCATGTTATTATGACTTTAGGACACGTTATGTTGAAACACACTATACCTTGCACTGGCGCCAGGCAGACACATGACTGGTGGTGCATGATAGACCTCTTGAATGTTTGCTTCATAGTCAGTAACATGACCCCGCTGTTTATGATCCAACTGTTTTCCTTTCTCACTCCAAAAGTAAATGCCTTTATTCATCTTTCAGCTGCATGCACCAGGCACGAAGTTACTAGTGCAAAATGGATCAAGGTTGGAAGAGGTTGAGGTCCAAGCATTTTCTTGGAGAACAAGAAATATCTGACGTGTTCTCCGATGAGCTATCTGACGTCCCTTGTGAGTCTGCTAGTGATAGGGACTCACAATCTGATAGTGAGCGTGTCAGGGGCGAACAAAAAATTGTGGCCACAGACAGTGAAAGTGAAAGTGACAGTAGCTCTGACGAAAGTGCAGGTAGCAACATTGCGGGTAGAGCCACATGGGGAAAAGCAGACAAAACGCCTGCTTTGGGACAGTTTACTGGAAATCCAGGGGTGAAGCAAATTCCATCGGACCCAACACAAGTGTCTGAAGTATTAAATATGACAGGAACGGAATAGAATGAATGTTTTTAGTTGTAAATTGAATCGTTCTAATTGTACTGCTGAATAACATCGTTTTGCTTTGCTCATATTTTCTTGTATATGTGACTGAGAATGACAGTATTTTGAGAATATGAGTTTCACGGTTTTGGCCTATTATTCTCTTCCTCGGAAAACAGTAAAGTGGACAAAGAAAGTTGCCTTGTGGCTTATAAATTGTGCCATTTTCAATTCATTTTTGGTTTTCAAAAATCTAAACCCTCATTCAAAATTGAAATACAAGGCATTTCTGCTGAATGTGGCAAAAGCCTGGGCTACAGACCACATGGTGGCGGCAGAACCGGTGGCAGACACAGTCTTAGTACGACCAGGGCCGTCTACTCCCACCCCACGCAGGCCTCATTTTGACCCCCCTGGGCAACTCTCGGGTGATATGCGGAAACAGACCCTCATGAAAATTGTGAAGAGTGAACATGCCAAGGGGAAGCAGCCTTCTAGGCGATGCTGTGTTTGCGCAGTACACAACAAAAGGAGTATGACTGTCTACATGTGCAAGTTCTGTGTAATGCCACTTCACAAAGGGGAATGTTTCCAGAAATATCATATTCTCAAGCACTTCTAGGCGCATTGGTAAGTGTTCTCCAAAAAGTTTAGTTCATACAATTAATTAGGAGATTTTATATTAATTTTTAAAGTGAACAGTGCACAAGTTAGGGTAGTAGGTTTAAAAATGCCGGTCCCCAGGGTGATTTAAATATTTAAATTGCCGGTCCGTAAAGTGTTAATATCTGTAAACTAGTTGAATTATAATTATAATTGATTATAATCAATGGAGGCACTATATGTCCCCCCACCCCTCTCCATGTTGGCAGCAACAAAAATACGCTGAATATTTCATGTGTTATCACACAGGGATACGGTCTTGAACCTGTACCTATGTAGTTGTGTTCTCTGACATCATTGTCTCACCTTGGTCAGCAGAAGAGGAAATGTATATGACAAGGATGGGGATATCTTGGGTGGTACCTCTGTAAAGTAGAATTTAACCAGTAAAGTTCTAGCAATACTAACTTTCTGTTGCTAAACTGGGCTTCTCTGTGCTGTCTCTGTTAATTTCTTGGTGAATCTCAGATGTGATTTGATATTCGTCACTTGACATCTGAAACAGTGGATAACAAAACACTGAAAACGATGCAAATACTGTAACCAAGTGCTTGCTTCATATCAGCATAGGTGAAGTCATAAATTGTTTCATTAAGTTTTAATTGTGTATTTATTTTAAATGTTTTGACTTTCGACTAAGACATATTAATATACTGCAATCTTCATGGCGTATCCAATAGAAACTGTATAACGACCCAGTAGATAAATAAATGAAATATTTAATCTGAATTGGCCATGTTGTTTATCTAAGAATATCAACAACATGCCGAAAAAAAAAACATACGGGAGTAAATTAGAAGCTTCGCCGCAGTTTCATAACTGTCGGCATTAATGAAATGACACGGCATATCGTGTTGGAAAATATTTTGCGTTGACGGGACTACGTACTTACCATAGAGCTCATATGTGATTATTTTAAATTTCCAGATAGAACAGCTGTCTTCAGAACAAGAATACCACGTTACACAGGCTGTACATTTTGATATAAAGAAAAGCGCTTTCAGGTTGCATAACAAAGTATTATTCATTAATTCAAAATTATAATCAACGAAGAATTTTAACACATTTAAAACTCACTAATATTGTTACCATGTGAATTAATCTTACAGAAATTTGAACAATTATGACACATCGTTTGGCACCACTGCTCAATCTGGACTTTCCCGTTCAAACTAGAAACTATATTGAAATACAGCCTTCGGAATGGCAATAATGGTCAATTTAAAACAGATAGTGAAGTTATAAATGTTATGGAATTGTTTAACTGTTTTTCAAATTCCTCACAAAATCATTTGGAAGTACATTTTGATAAATACCATAGGTCTTGATGCGTCAATGTTACGCGTCTTTTGTCGTCTTTTGTCTTCCAGCATTGGATTGCGTAGACCAATAAAATCTCACCACGATTCGATGATGCCACGCACATCGTAAGGGACGATATAAGTGTGAATTACCACGTTACCGGTTGTAGTAGAGGACTTGACAAGATGATATATAAAGTGTGTATTCTGTTAGCCATTTCATCCACCGTGTTTTGTGATGAAATTAAGAATGATGAAGGTGTACTTGTTTTCACAAAAGATAACTTCAGAACGGGTGTAAAGGATAACGAATTTGTTCTTGTTGAATTCTGTAAGTACCTGGACCTAGGACCATATAGCACCACTTCTTTACTAGTTTATTATATCATCACAGTATATATTGGGGTTGTAGTGTTCAAACTGAACATAAAATTCGTAATGTAATATATATATCTGAAGCGTGTTATACGTGTGCAACTATCAGAGCGTAATATAGCTTTACGATGAAGTTCACATATTGAATACGTATTTATTATATTATTGGTCGGTAGAACAACTAGTAACGAAATACATAAAATAAGTATTTTAGTTACGTGGGATTTTACTAGATTTGTCATTAATGGTCGTCGTATTCTGAGGGACGCCAGAGACGTGCCAAAACGTGTCGCAGCTTCTGGGCAGGGTTGAATAAACTTGCAGCGGCAAATGTACATAATTCAAGATGTTACACATTTTCGTGGAACCCTGTGACTAGAGTTCATTAAAGACGCTTACGCACCGGAACTAGTGAAGGTGTAAAGTTTGCGATTAGGCAGAATGCTTGATGCGGATACCGAAGCTTCTAAAAAACATACAAACACGTGGCGAACAGTTAGTTTGGTGTGAATGTTGCTGTACATTCGTACTGCAGAGGAATGTTAGATGCAGTAATTATGGAATTAATTAACTGTTACCATGCAGTATGGAATATACAATTGGCAATTCATAGAAATGGAAAGAAAAGGAATGATTTCGGGACACAAAGCAGAAGTAGTGCCCTAATGAAGGTTCCGTTAGCACAGTTCCACCATCAAACATGGAGAGTGAACAAAATTGGGAATGAGGGTAGATAGATATACTACATAAAAGCACGTAGATTGCAATTAACGGTCTGTTTCTTGTGGACCAAAATGAATGCATGTGCTGAGCTCACAAAATACAGCTTGATGGAAAATTAAGTATTCCATTAATTTGGAATGGAATTTCCAGTGTTTTAAAGTAATTATTCCATTACAACTGGCATCAACATATAGAAATGAATAATGACCAAAAAAAGTAAAGCTATACCTGTAACAGGCCATGAAGGCCTATAGGATTGTGAGACGGGGGTCCCACATTATCTAGACAGTCTGCTCAAAGATGGCGGTAAGGTTGTCAGCCTTATGTGCCGACTGCGCTTTACTCCCCAGGAAAATTATTTATTTAATTCCTAGTACTTAACATAACATAACATAACATAGCTACATGGTTTCACAGATCCATTGTCCGGAAACCGGACTGGATATTGAACTCGTCACACCAAACTGACATTGCAATGTGCAACCTGGTCTAGACAATAAAATATTCAACAATTATAACATTGATAGGTACAACAGTATAAAAATCAGTCATCTTACAATTCTTTGCTAGAACATAGTCTTAGAAAACAGACTGTAACAGTGCATAAAATTACCTACTTGCCATATATTCACCTACCGAGTAAAATGCTTTTGAAGCCAGAAAATCCTTTAGTCTTTGTTTAAAAATATTAATATTGTCTTTCAAGATATATATGTTTTGTGGCAGGTTGTTAAATATTCTAATAGATGTAAAATGCACACCCTTCTGAATGGAAGATAATCTCACAGAAGAAACATGTAGCCTATTGTGCCATCTGGTACTTATTTGATGTATGTTATCGTTTGCTTGGTACATATTATAATTTTTAATTACAAACAATATCATAGTATATATATATAAGCAGGGGACTGTAAGTATACCCAATTTCTTAAAGCCTTCCCTACATGAATCTCTAGGACCCAGCCTTAACAAAACTCTTATTGCTCTTTTTTGGGCCACAAATATGCTTTTCATTGATGAAGATGAGCCCCAGAAAATAATTCCGTAATTGAGTTGAGCCTGAACATGGGAAAAATAGACGATACGTAAAACTTGTCCATTCACAATGGGTTGCAATTTTCTAAGCATGTAAATTGCAATGCATAATTTTTTTATTAAACTAATCGAATATTGTTTCCAATTGAGATGAGAGTCAAGGCACATACCCAAGAACTTAACATTTTCATCAATATTAAGATTTTGATCATTATATTCTATACGAATGTAGTATGTAGTGGATGTATGTATGTAGTGGATAGTCTAAAGCCTTAGGAGTGGCAAATTTAATTACATGCGTTTTGTCCAGATTAAGTACTAGTTGGTTATTTTGAAACCATTTATGGATACGATTCATTATTAGATTTATTTTTTGATTCAATGTGGTAATATCTTTTGAAGAAACAATAATAGTGGTATCATCTGCGTAAAGAATGATATGAGCTAGACCTTTTAGGATACTAGGAAAGTCATTGATGTAGACATTAAACAGTAATGGACCCAATACTGAGCCCTGGGGAACACCATGCCTGCTAGTTAACCATCTGGAAACAGAAGTGTTAAGGTTTTGAGTCTGTAATAGAGTTCTCTGCTTCCTGTTAAATAAGTATGATTCAAACCATTTCAAAATGGATCCTCTAATTCCATAATGTTCCAACTTTTGAATTAACAAGTCATGGTTAACGCAATCAAATGCCCTTGTAAGGTCACAAAAAATACCTACTACCAGTTCCTTATTATTCCATGCTTTATATACTGAGTTTGTTAAGTTAAAAATTGCATTTTGTGTCGATGCACCATTTCTAAATCCATATTGCTCATCAACAATAATATTATTATTTGTCAACTGTTGTTTTAACCTATTAAAGACTAATATTTCAAATAATTTGGAAAATCCTGTCAACAGAGAAATAGGCCTATAGTTAGATATTTCGGATGCATCACCCTTTTTAAAACATGGTATGATGTTGGCATATTTTAGCCGATCTGGGTATATTCCAGTATATAAGGATAAGTTATAGATATAGGTGAGTGGTTTAGCTATCTGCTCACCGCATAACTTGATAATTTTATTGGACAGCCCATCGTATCCACAGGAAGTCTTATTCTTTAGTGAAGAGATTGTGCTTAAGACTTCAGTTAAGGTAATTGGAATATTAGCTATTTCAGGAAACTTATCAAGAAGGCTCTTTCTAATTATAGGATGTACACCTTCATATATAGGATACTGGCTAATTAGCTTTTCCACTGAGTTTATAAAGAATGTATTAAAAGACTCCGCTGCTTTATTGATGTGTATTTTTTTATTATCACTTCTTAATTCTGATGGAATAAACTTCTTTTTGGATGCATGACCTACTTCATTATTAATAATTTTCCAGGATACCTTGGATTTGTTGGTACATTCAGATAACAATTTGTTATAGTACAGTTCTTTTGCTTTACTAATGACTCTTTTTAATATGGCACAATATCGAGTATAATACTCTTTTAATTGAGGATGACTAGTAGCTCTGCACATTATAAAGAGAGATTTTTTTCGTCTACAAGACACTCTAATACCATTAGTAATCCACTGATTATTGTATGCAGCATTTACCACAAATTGCATTGGAAAACACGATTCAAAAATAACTAAGAAAGTATTCAAGAATGTATTGAAACTAGCATTAACATCTGTGTTACTGAGGGTATTGTCCCATTTCTCATTTTGCAACATGTCAATAAAATTTAAGACTCTAGACTTGGTTAATAGTCTTTTCCTAACAAGTCTATTCTTTTTCATTTGAGTTCCAAAAACATTATTTACCACTAGATATTGTGCGTCATGATCAGAAAGCCCATTGTTTACAGAGCACACATGGAAGGTATTTAATCTATTATAGTCCAAAAAAATATTGTCTATAGCAGTACTTGACACTTTAGCTATCCTTGTAGGGAAGTCAACAACATGGCACAAGTTATATGTTTGCAAAAGTGAGATTACCTGGTGAACATTATTTGAGTTACTTAGAAAGTTGACATTAAAATCTCCACACAGTATAATTTCAAGCTTTGGCTTGTATAAGAGCTTCATAATTACTTCCAGTTGATTAATAAATACTTGTATATCACCACTGGGAGATCTATAAATACATAAAAATATAAAGGTAATATTACCAGTTTTCATCTGTATTGCACAGGCCTCTATAACCTTTTCTATACAATATTTGGAAATGTCCACTACATTACATGTCAAATCTGATTTACAATAGATGCATACACCACCTCCAGTATTGAGTTGACGTGAAAAATTGGAGGCCAGGTAATAATTCTCAGGTTTTATCATCAATAATTTCGGCTCAACTAAATAATGCTCTGTAATACAAATAATGTGCGGACTTAAATCAAAACTGTGCAGCATACAAGTTAATTCGTCGATTTTGTGTTGCAGTCCTCTTATATTTTGGTGAAATACATTTAATGTATTATGGTTAGTCTGAATAAGTTTAAAGTTACTTTGTGACTCATCCCAGCTACTTTGGTCAGATGTCGTTACCATAAAAAATCATCATATCTACTTGCTGGTCGTCTTCTTTGTCGCTTACTTGGCAACGTAGTGGGTGTCTTTCCCTGCTGTTTATCTGCCTCCCCAGAAGAGATTGCTAGATGTTTTCCAGAAGTAGTGGGTTCCCTACTTGTCTTTATCCCATCCTGCCTCTGAGTCTTCTTCCAATGTACTTATTTCTGTTAGAGGATGAGTGAACCCCAGGGCCATTGTGCGACCCGAAGGATTAGGTCAATTGAAAAAAATCCACTGACCTAAATAGATGAAAAACGTTTTGTTGTAAACATGTTGCTTACTTGAATACATTCTCAAAGTTCTTCTGCCTTTGCTATATAAACTGGGAATTATTTCAGAAATTAAGTGTTTCAGGACTTTACATATACAGTAAGCTGGCTGTGGTTTTCATAATTTTTCTTGGGTCCTCCAGGCAAATTGTGGGTCAGTAGTTCTTCAAATTAAACCTCTGCTGTATCATTTCCCACCCATTATTCACTATCATTCTATGCTTAATGATTTGAGTTTGAGAGAGTATTGTTAAATAAACTGTAAATAAATAAGGAAGGAAGGAAAAGTGAACCTTGATAGCTCTGCTGATACTGATGAATGCCTATGAACTAGTGAGACTGAGTCCACTTGGTACTGCAGCCACTACTGGCCTATTGTACTAGTCCCAGATGATATAGATGATGGTGATTGTGAAGCAGTTGGTGGAATGAAGATTTGCAAGGGAACCTGAAGTACTAGGAGAAAACTTGCCCCAGTGCCACGTTGTCCACCACAAATCCCACATGACCAAACCTGGGCCTGCACTGTGGGAAGCCAGCAACTAACCGGTTCAGATATGACACGGCCATGCCTATGAACTAGACATTTATTTTGTGGCAGAGCAATTTAGGCATTTTACGTGGACTTGTGGACAGAGTGACTTTAGGTCCCATATAACATCTTTCCCAGATTAAGTGATGGCAAGGTGGAACATGATTTCTGTAGAAAAAGGCAATGGGAGGTTGAGGCTCTACAGGAAGCATAGAGCTTCCCTTGAAGCATGAGGCTCCAAGTTTCTTCAAAACATTTGTATCTGTCTCTCAGAGTACATGCAAAAGATCTGCTCTATTATGTCGAAACCCACACTGATGATCCCCAATAATGTCATCTATATATGGACTTAACCTTGAGAGAAAAATATTGGATAAAATTTTGTATGATGTTGAAGGCAGTGATATCCCCCAATAATTATTACAGTCAGTTTTATCACCATTCTTGTGAACTGGTACAATAATAGACTCCTTCCACTGATCAGGTAATTTTTCCATATGCCAAATTGAAGTAATTTAGCTTATGGATCTTAGAACGTAATATTTCACCTCTTTCTTGGATACATTCTGCCAGAATTTGATCACTGTCTGGTGATTTATGCTGTTTCAATTCTGCAATAGCACTTTCAACCTCAAAAAGGCTAGGACCAGGTACTAACGGCTCAGCCACATCTGGATAAATTGGTGTCAGAAATGCATTTGTCACAAGATACATTTCAGTCAGAGCTCTTCGTGCTCTGTGGTGGTCTTTTAGTTTTTTCCTGAAGATGTGGGCACCAGAAATATAAAACACTTTAATGGACAGTTTGTAGCAACAAAGCACTCACTGTTTGGCAGGTGATGTTTGCCTGATATTAAACAATCCCGTAATAGTAGTTTCCACCTGTATTGATATATCCTTCTGAAGATTGTTTCAGACTGAAACATGCCAAGGATGAAAGATTACAAAGGAGGAAAAAAATTTATCAGTGACACTGGCCGGAGTTGATAACCTTTTATAGTACTGATTAGAAGTCCTTGGATGTAGTATTAAGCTCAATAAGAAGGAAAATGTGATGGACTTGGGATCCAAAATAGTTTTACTTTTTGATGAAAAACCAAATTAGGTTGACGTATGGTGGTTGATGCAGTGATTGTGGCAAATGTTTCTGCATGTACATGTATTTTACTTGTAACTTATTTGTTACAATTGTTTATTTAATATGTTACAGATGCGCCATGGTGTGGCCACTGCAAATCTCTGGCTCCAGAATATATAAAGGCAGCAAAGAAGTTAGCTGACCAAGAGTCTGCAATTAAACTAGCCAAAGTAGATGCAACCGAAGAAACCGAACTTGCAGAAGAGCATGGTGTGAAGGGTTATCCCACACTCAAGTTTTTCCGCAATGGATCCCCAATTGATTATTCTGGTATGTTTTGATGGACTCTTCCAAGAATTTGTGTATACAAAACACTGATATTTGCAATTTTGTTCTAATATATGTTGGAGAGTAGTTGAAAATGGCAGCAGTAAATGGCAGTGGAAGGTATGCTTAGTCTGTATTGCAGTGTGTACCTTTGCTGAAGTTTATAATACATCTCTACATAGGAGAACTGTGTAATGCATACTGTAATTCTGTCAAATTTTGTATCTTGCTATAAATGCAGCTATTTTTCCTGAACTTTTTAAGTTCATAGTCTGCATATTCATTGACTTCCAACTGTTTCTCGAGGGCTATGAAGTATAAGATATGATCATATTGAAATATGTATATCAGTATGATATCAATAACTATATCAGTTTCCCTTTCAGATTCATATATGTTACTGTAATATGTTTGTGTAATTCATAATGTGATTGAAAATTCAATTGTAGATATCCAGTATTTTTGTTGTAAACATTCATATTGTGGGCTTTCTTTCTACCGACTGTAATTTTGAATGAGAAAGAGAAGCTTTGATTTGTGAACAGTTTCTTCTTGTGTGATTTACCTTAATAATCTTGAAGTTGATGGATCACTAAATATTTTGCTTTGCGTTAATGACTCCATCCTGTCTGCTTAAAGAACTGTTGTAATGTGTTAAGAAAAAGGTAAGAAGACCTTTGTCAGTATGTTTTTAACCTTTAACGTACAGACTTTTAAATTGCTGGGAGCCCTCTCCGTCCGGAATTTAACTCGCCCTAATTAATTAACATTGCAGACTTTCAGGAAAAACTACATATTTTCTGTTCTATGCAACATAGAAATACAAATTAAAAACAACCTGAAAGACAGTAAAATATTCTACATATACACAAAAGTGAAATTTTTACAAACAAAACTTAACTGTGATTCTTTTGTCATGAAATGCAAAATATACTCTTTATTGTTATGAAATTCCAGAGGACTTACCTGTAGTTTTTTTTTAAACTTTGAGATTTGGTGATATTGTAAATATAATCACACTATATGCAACAATATTTTGTTCAGACTCTATGCGAGTTTGAACTGTGTCACTTCACAGTTTATGATACCCCATACTCTGTCGTGTATGCCACTTCTCGAAGCAGTCTGCGACACATAGCGCAACATCACACTTTTTGCACTAGACCAAGGTTCTCCAAACTATGGCCCGCGAAAGAATTGTGCAGAAATGCACCAATTGAACTAATTTTCCAATGAGTACTGGTAAAAAAAAATACTTGTTCATAGATTTCAAATTCATTAATTAAGATTGTGTTTAAAATATCTTGATATTCCATATTATGTTAATATTAATAATATTCACAATTTTACTAATTCTGGACTGTATACTGCGCGGTATTTCTTTGTACTTGTTCGGCCTCGATCGGCAGTGTCACTTCATGGCAATGTAGGTAGCGCGAGCAGAATTTCCTCCCTCATTTGCAAATTTAGTCATTTCATATCTGAAAGAACAATTTCGGAAGCTATTTGCTGATTTGGATGCCAGTGCTCAGGAAATTAGATTGTTTCAAAATCCGTTTGACTGTGATGCTGCAGATGTCTCAAGTCAAATTCAAATGGAAATTATTGGAACTTCAGGAAAATTATCATATTAAAGACAAATATAAGGAAAGAAATTTGATCAAATTTTATAAATTTCTGAACTCTGAGCAGTTTCCAAATTTAAAGAAATTTGCTCGTAAATTTATCTCCATTTTGGGGATGACGTATCTTTGTGAACAAACTTTTTCCCAGATGAAGTACATCAAGTCGAAATACAGGGCAAATTTATCCATTGAACATTTACAGTCACTACTTGTGATTAGCGTTTCAAAATTTGAACCTCAATTTAATCGGATTTTAAGAATGCAAAAAGAGATCCATCATTCACATTGTTTTATTATAATTTGTGATGAAAATATGAGCATTTGCTGCTACTGTCTGTTTTCATTAATATACGATAATTTATTCTCACGTACTTTGTATTTAGTTTATGAAATTCTGTGCTTTCAGTAAAACTCATATACCTAGAGTTATTAATTTCTCATTTTATTCGGCCCACTGAAAGTGCTGAAGTGCCTAATGTGGCCCGTGTTTCAGAAAGTTTGGAGACCCCTGCACTAGACAGTGGTGCTCCTGCTTTTCTTATTTAGTGAAACACACAACAGCATCTTTGATTCCCTTTAGTTGGCCAGTGTTGTCAATATTTCACCTCCAGTTGACTCAGTTGGGCCCCAGATAACCTTGGCCTCCCCCGAGAAATGCCACTGACCGTGATATTCACCTTGTGTGATTGAAGAATCATCTTGGGGGAGGGGGGTTTCCAGCAAAATCGAATAAATTATGTTGATTGACAAAGCGACACTCTCACCTCTTAGTAATACTCGCAAAATAGTGATGCAAAGTAATTATACAAGGTGTGGCAATAAAGAACCCGGATTACTTTTATGACTCATTTCCGGCCACGTCATTGACGAAGAGGAGGGTAGGGCATTGACCCTTGGACTTCCCTCTACCGTCACACAAAGTTTCATTCACGTGCATCGGTTAGTCTGGCCGCGACCATTGTTAGAAGCGGATCGTGTTTCTGAGCTCCGTCGGAATAATGCTGAGTGCTAATGCAGAACAACGTGCTAACATCAAATTCCTCACAA